AGCATATTGAGTTTTTTACAATTTTTTCCCTGCGTGATTAGCATTTTATTTAGAGTCTGAGACATTAATCAATAAAAGCAACACCCTGTAAACAGAGAAAAATGAAAAAGCAAGTGCTGCATTTTAATAATATAAATAGAAAACTGTGTGGCATGAGGGGCCAAGGCATAGCCTGCAATCTGCAATCTGAATACCATCAAAGGTAAAAGAATTGAAGGCAAAGGAAATTTTCAGGGCTGATTGCACACGGATGAAAAAAAAAAAGTAGAGAAAGATAAAATATTGAACACTGGTTAGTATGGAGGATGTGACTGAAATATTTTACTCTGCTGTTTTTAAAAAATTTTGTCCTTGCTGATGTTGATTTTAAGGGCAGAGAAGAGAGGGAATGGAGAACCCAATCCCTGGACTCAATAAATTAAATAGAACAACATAGAAAAATATTTCAAACATTGTTGTTAAAACAGGGTCAAGTTTTTAATAACATCTCAATTTCACAGTTTTTGTTCTTTAAAGAACACTTGTAATGGTTACTTAGAAAAAAACAAATTGGAATTTATCTCATTGTATATGGTACAAAATACCATGCTGGAAGCCTGAAAATAATAGTCAGCTGCTGTTCAGTGCTCTTCATCTACAGAGCTCAAGTGCTCTGGGAAGCTGGTGAGTATTGGCTTTCAGACAGAAAGTGCTGAGGCCGTGCCCTGGTGCCAGGGAGGTCGGGAAGGAAGCCAGTGTGAAAGTCAACACCACCTGCCAACTCATTTCGTGATGCATCCAACAGGTCATACTGCCACCAGGCAAAGCCATTCCATTTATTTCCCAACAGAGACCCCCAAAAACAGTGGCAAGACCATCAGCATAGCGTGGCCATGCTGCTCAGCCACTGGGACCAGATCTGGGGTGTCGCTGAGGGGAGCTGGGCTGTTCTTCCAGCCATTTCGGGGCCCTGCAGCTGACTGAGCTCCCAGCAAGCCAGGATCCACCCCATGATGTCTTAGCCAATTGGGGTGGCATCCTGAACTTCTAAAACCATGATAGTAGCAGCAGGATTGCATTGCCCATAGCTAAGCCATACCACTTCACCAGGAACTTTTTAAACTTTTCCTCTCAGTGCCTGCTTACTTTATGCACTGCATTTCTTACTGAGCAGAAGTTAACATTAATCTTGTTGTTTACTTCCTTATTTTTGCCCTGTTGCCTTTTTCTCCTCCCTCATCCCATCCTTCATATTCTTAGTGGTGTTACCACAACTTGAGAAACAGCTTTTATTCATGAACTGCTTTATTTATTAGCTTCTTTCAGAACTGCAGCAATTAGTGGGGTGAGCTTTCAACATTTGTCTCCTGTAGGCCTCACACAAAGACTTGCCAGTCGGTTATGCTTTTTCTTTGCCGGAAAAGATTGAGTTTTGATTTAAGAAGAGATTTAGAATAAAAAGATAAGGAGAGAAAATTAAGAGCTACATACAGCCCCTGGGGGCTTTCCTCTAAAGAGGAAAGGGTTAGTGAGCCTCAAGTTCCTTCTACTGCAGTCTTGCTTCCAATGCTGATGGAAGGGGGTTGCTACCTATCTGGCTTCCCCTCTCCTCACGTGGATTCTGGGATCATTAACACTTTCTGTTAGAGGTTTAAAGGTGGGCTTTTTTCCATATGAGACAACCTAGGTGGGCTTTTTGACTGTTTCTAATCTCTGCACCCCTAAAAATTTCTAGCAAAAAAAGGGTATCCTCCTTTAGGAGCAACAAGTGGTTCCCAAAAAATCTGAAGAAGATGACATCAAAAAACTTCCAAGCTAGGGATGTAACAATGAAACAGGTTAATTTCTGAAAGGTCCGTAGGTAACTCTACAGTTTTCTAAACAGAAAAGTGTGGCTGCTTGTGGATTCCTCTCTGGGAAACAGAAGGAAGCAGCCAGGGGTCTTGGTGTGATTTGCTGATGGAATTCCTTCCTCCTACTCTTCTTCCTCCAAGTTTTGCCTTTTCTTCAGAAAATGGGCTGCTCATTACTTAAGCATGATCAAAATGTTTGCTACTGTACAAAAATACTAACAAAAGGACATTGTAGGCAATACCAAAAGTGACACACTATTAGTTTGATCTTACAACATGGGTGTAAGGCTGCAGCTGCAATGTTCAGACTGTGGGACTGAGGTAAAAAATAATAGCAGAGCAGATGCGTTTCCCTGCACAGCATGGAATAAAAAGAAACATCTGGCCCTTGGCCCCTAAAGGATATTTCTCAGAGAGAAGAGTAAATTAAGGGTGCATTGAAGATGTAGGGCCTCAGCTAAAGGGAACTGCTGCCTTAGTAACCATCTCTAACCCAGCTCCCAGTTTCTGATGCATAATGCCATTTAAAATACAGGGCAAGAATAATGGCATGCAAGATAAATGCAACCAAGTGCAAACATCAATATATCCACAAAATATATGTTGCTATCTTGTTCAAACAAATAAGTAAACAAACAAAGGAAATATTTTTAAACACTAAACATACGCCAGTTATATTGCTGCAGGATAAAACATGGGCTTTTTTAAAATCTATTGAGTCATAAATCTCCGTATTTCCCTTTGTGTTTGATCTCATATATTACTCGGAGTTTCTAAAATGATAACAAGGCATGCATTAAAAATATTTCTCTTATTGTTACATTTCAAGCACGTTTACTGTTAGCTGCTTAGCTTCATTATGTATCATAGTCTGAATCTACAAATCAAGTATAATTAGACTTGGAGAACTGATTGGATTTCTAATTAAGCTACATTGGAAACAACAATGCACAATCAGTAAATATTCTGACTAGGTACATTTTAAAGAGCAACTCTTGGGCTTTTTGCTGATGACTAGACACCAGTGTCATTAAATTTGTTGGTGGCAAGCAAATTTTAAAGCTAAAATAGAGGCAATTAGTAAAGATCTTGAAATATTTAATCACGTTTGTCCAATTAGTGTGCAATTAGGCAATGGTGTGGCGTGGGACAAACATTCTGCTTCACTGTTTGGTAGAGAAGGATCCCTTTGAAATTTTGCTATTTAGTTTATTGATATATAAAAAGGAAGTTATGGTTGTAATTTCCAATTTAAAAAAATACTGTGCAGATGGTCTGACTATATATTTAACAATGTTAAACAAAACTAAACAAGGGAAGCATGTTACCTGAAATTACACAGCTGTGATCAGTGAATAAGCTCCAGATCACATTAGATTACAGCTGTGGGCACCTTGATCACACAAAGCGCCAGGTAGTTATGCTGGTAAAATCAAAGCTAAGTAAGCTGGTGTGTCACAGCTCGAGATGATATGATTATTTTGTCCTTGACCGAAAATATTTTTCTTCTTTGAGCTTTGCCTGGCTGTTTTGCATTCCTTCCATGAAGCTTTACGTTGGCAAGTTTGTTGTGGAAAGTCAAGTGGTGGCTTTTTTATGAATAAGCCACTTAAGTGTTATCTTCCCTTCAGCCTGGGGACTTGACTCCCTTTTTGGCAAATTTTAGACTCTCTTTTAAAAGCAATTGCTACATTTATTAGTCGCTTTGCAAAACTTCAGCACAATGTTTGGGCCAGCACATGGGATGCTGCTGTCATGCATTTCAACCCTGCACCATCACGTTGGTGTTTATCAATCGGTTTGTTCTCTTCGGCCACGTGCAGATAGTCAAGGAAACGGTGCCAGGGAACGTCCCCAGGTGCTGGAGCTCAATTTTCCGGATTGTTAAATTGTTACAGCAGTCCTTGGCATGGTGTTGACTTGGGTCAAGTATGACTCTCCCCAGCCATCCCTGGACCCAGCTCACAGATAACACTTGCCAGGGACCATTCCCAACAGACATTTTGAGAGGGAAGGGGGATTAGGAGAATGGATTTGGGCCATCTTGTGCCAGCTGTCCTCCTCATCAAAGCGCATCTAACCTAGTGTCAGGGGTCCCTGTGGGTTCAGAAAGCATGAATTGGAGGGAAGGTGTACAACAGAACTACCTATGACACCGATGATGCAGACACCAGCCTGGGCCTCAGACTTTCTTTCCCCTGCAAAGGCTGACTTGGTTCCAACTCATATTTAATTTGGACTAAGAAACAAGAAAAGACTCCATCTTCCCCAAGTTGTCATAAAAGACAGGTAATTGGTTTAGCTGTTGTTTAGATTTGATTGCCAGATTATTTTTTTCCAAAGGAAATAGGTGATGTAACTTTAAAATATCTTTCTGTGTAATTCTCATAAATGCTGTAACTTCTGAAATGCTGTTAAGCCACCATGGATTTAAACATTTTACTTTCACGTCTGAGAAATTTTTCTTTGATTTTAGTACTGAAAAAAATGCCAAAATAAAGCAAAGAGTACTTCGTAGCAATGCTATGCTTTTTTTTCTTTTTTTTTTTTTTTCTTCTCTTTGATAGATACAGACCTGGAATTTCAAAATAGAGAGTTTTGCCTTGTAACCAGGTTGGTGCTTGCAGGAATTTTATGAACACTGTTGTGTTCATTTCTTGAGCAACATCAAGTCAAAACAAAATACTTTTGAACTGAAAAAAAAAGAAATTATGCTAAGAGGCAAATTGTATGAGAGAGAAATGAAACAGGTAAAAAAGCAGATAATAGATAATTGCACAGACATTCATCCATTCCAAAACCATAGGCTTGAAAAAAATTACCTGGATTGAAGACTAGATTTTAACTCTTTGATATTCAAAGGTTAAAAGCAAAGTTTTTTCAGATTTGCTACTTCCCACATTTTATGAGTGCATCAGGTTTTCCTGGGTGCTTATGCTCAGGCAGAAAAGAAGACCAACACTCTCCTGGGGGATAGGACTCCATCAGCCCTCTCATGCCACACGAGCACTGCTTTAAACCCTCTGTAAACCTGAGTGCAGGGGAGAGATTTTGAGACCTGTTTTGAAGTGAACCTTGTGATACATTAACCACACAAGCTTTAAAATGTGATTATATTGTGAATAAGAATAATTAATGATGATAATAATAATACTTGCTGGTGTTTTATACATATGTATGTGGTATCCTTAACATCCTTTATTGGTTTCACTCAGTTTATAGATATGCCCTGATTCATAGAAGAGTCAAGTTTCTATAGATAAAAAAAAATAAGAGCAACAGGTCATCACTATGTTGGCAAATTGTCTGCCCAAATCCCATATGGAAAAAAGATGTGAAAGCAGCATCTCATGGTCTCTGCCTCGCCATATTTTTGTTCAAGTAAGAGATTAGGAAACCAGATCATTAGGATTGAGTAGCCAGCTGCAGACACAGTGCAAGAAATGTACCTCTTACAGTTAATGTCTTGTGAAAACCACACAGGTCCCATAGGGGTTAATCAAACATTTAGGGCTGTGGTTTACAATGTTCTTCAGTCCCTGGAAGAAACCAGCTTTTGAGCACCTAGGAAAAAAAGAGAGAACATCTGCAACTGTAGTTGTAGAAAATTAGTAAGCCTTGCTTTAAGCAGCACTTCAGTGTGAGTACTTGTGTGTTTATATCCAGGATTGTGTGCTGAGCCTTCACAAACTGTGACTTCTACCCCCAGGCATATATCTATATATATGTGTAACAGAACTATATATATATATATGTGTGTGTGTGTGTGTGTGCATATATATATATACACACACACATATATATGCATGAGTATCCATGTATGTGTATACATACACTGTGCATGTACAGGAATCAAGAACTTCAAACAGGAAAATAATGTTTGGCAAATTCAGAAAAGGAAACCCCTGTTTATTTGATAATGGAAACAAAACCATCACTTCAATAGCAACTCATGCACCGCTGTCAAAGCAAGCTCCGGGTGGATGTGCGGACCCGCAGGTTCTCTGTAGTTGGTGAATTCCTCACAGTGTTGTCTTTATCAAAGAGGTTAATGCAGATTCAAAAAAATTGCTTTGATGTGCAAGACATCACAGAACAGCAGCTCCATTCACTGCAGAGAGAGTCCATTATTTAAGTCTCTCAGGCAACTGTGCAGATTGCCCATAAAGGGAGAAATAACAGGACTGTGGAAATAAACCCCACAACAATATGTATTCTGCTTGCTTCTGCAGCCTTTCCCTCCATTTTTTGTGTCTTGATTCTGTTAAATGATATTAGGGTTGAGTCTTCCCCTTGGCTCACCTTACCTTTTGCTCCAGTGCTTCCAGCAGATCTCAGGGCCTGCTGTGGCTCAGAGGGATGGGGCAGATCTGGCACAGTGCTACTGGGGAGCTGCAGGATGAACCTGGCTCATCCCCAAGGCAACATCCTCCATGGAGATGGTCATGTCGGGAGATGGGAATGGCAGGTGGGAGCTGGGGCAGAAGGAAGGAGGAAATCAAGCCCTGCCACTCCTACAAAGGCAGGACTGCTCTGAGACCAGCCAGGTGACCATCATCCAGGCACTCTCCTGTGACTGCAGGGAGAACAGAGTTTTCCCATCTTCACTCTGTACTGTCATAAACCATGCCAATGTGTAGAAAGGGTCTGTAAAATTAATTATACTGTGAGTGCTTGGTAACCAAATGAATTGTAAATTGTACATTATTAAAACAGCATCAGAGCACCGACTGATCTATTATTCTTTAGGGAAATGTACGAAGATAAGAGCTTTATATGCTTTAGGGTTCTTTCCAGCCACCACACAGCCAGATTTGTAAGAAAAAATGTGGCAATATTTTGTTACTGCCTGAGTTGCAACTGACACAATACTGTATTGTTTATTTTTATTACTTTTCCTCATATTTAATATAGATGAGGTAGCAGACAGTGCAAGTGTGACATATACATGCCCAGTCTCCTTCTGTTTATCCTTTTTCAGATTGCATTTGGGATTAATCACCCTCACATTTGTGTGAAAAAAAAAAAAAAAGAAAAAGATAACTGTAGGTGCAGAAAAGTGAGATAAATATTAAGAAGCATGTCCTTTTGCACAAATCATGTAACTAACAATATTCACAGCTATTGTTAGCCAATCATTTTTCCTGCATGTTGTTCCTTGCTGCCTACCTGACTTTTAGCTTCTGAGATCTGTAAGAGGGCTGTGTGGGGAGCTGCATGTTCAGAAAAACCTTTTGAATAACAACATTAAAGAAAAAGCCTATGGGTTTAGATGTGCATATATGTTTTATTCCTGCACACTCTGCTTCATCTTCCTCTCATGCAGTGTCTGATGTCTGGGAAACTTGGTTCTCATGTGTGCACTGGCATCTTCTGGGTTAATAAACCCAAAACCTGCATGTCCTCCCTCTTAGGGATGCTAGTTTGTTGTAGGATTACTTTCTAGGCAATCCCTCCTACACATCACCTAATGGTCCTTTTCACCCCTTGCTTCCAGCAGACAAGTACATCTTTCTACAAGCAGGGGTCTATGAGAGAAGGGGACAGCTTTTTTTGTTTGTTTGTTTTAATGCCCCTATTGAAGAAATGGAGGCAGAAGCTGCTCCAGAATAGCTTTTCCCACAAGGTCTCCTTTATATTCCCTCCTTTGAAGGAAGATGCATGAAAAGTACATCCTATGAGTGCTTGTCAGAGAAGAGGAGAAACAGCTGGAGAAACATCCTCCTCCCTCCAGCTGGAGACAAGTCTCCTGACTAAGCTGTGCAAGGCAGTGACGTGTTGGCTTCTACAAGCAACACATCAGTGGTTCCGTACCACTGGGAAAGCTTTGGGGCTTCTCATACACTAGAGTGACCCCAAGTGTTTCTTTCAGTGGCATCCAGTCATGTCCTCCCTCCTTCAGGGAAGGCCTAGTGGGAAAAAAGTTACCCTTTGACTGCAAGGTCTAGATGGGCATTCAGCAAAACTCACAAGTGAAACAGTCAAGGAAATGACTTAAATCTGAGTCAAAGTCCAAAGAATTTCAGGACTTGTCCTCCTCTCTATGCAGGCACAGGAGACAATGACATTTTCCTGGCTAAGGTGTTTCCATAATGGAATAAAGCATATTTGCTTGTTTTTCCAATTTTTTCATAGGAGAATTTAGATTTTAGAGAATTTACAACCTTCGGAACAACTCTCTTAACCCTGTTTACTAGTCTAAAATACAGTGCTGCCTTTCTCAAGACTCATCAGCCCTGCAGAAGTCACTGCCATCTTTCAGGAGAGCGCTGCATCCCGCTCCCCGGGCAGCCTCTGCCGGGAGGTGCACTGCGTCCTCAAATTCAAGAGAGGGCAGCATTTTCCTTAGGCTGATGATCCAAAGGAAGGGGACGACTCCCAAGAGTGTGAAAGAATGTCAGCAAGTGAAAATCGTCAGTCACAAAACAGACGAACATTCTGAGAAATTAAATTTGATGGAAGACATGCAATATTCTCAGGAGTTTATATATATATCTCTTTCTATATATTTATATATATATATATATATATATATAAATGCATATATATACACATACATATACCAAACCAAAACCCAAACAAGCTCTTAATTGATTGATGATGTTAATGAATATATCCCATCGATGTTCAAGGAATTCTTGCACAGGCTGTTGTGCAGCTGTAATGCTGTTTCTGCAGCACACCACAATGACTTTGCCACCAACCCTTGCACTGCAACAGCCAACTAACAACAGACTGATGCACCCCAGATAAATGCCATACATGAATGAAGTGCTAAACTGTGCCTGAGGTAATTAAGAATCCACTGCCCTCTCATTAAAATCCCTATTCAATTAAATTATTCAAACTACGCCTAAAACGCTACCAGGCTGTTATTTTTGATTACTTCAGTATTTGCTTAAGAACCAGCAAAACTAATCCAAAGCAAAGAATCAGACTTTTGTGATGTAGCCTCAAAATATGCATCTTCTAGTGTGAAATAATCATGCCTGCAAAGAAAGATCAAAATGCTTGTTTTATTGCAGAAACCCGGACCCTTGTGATCTAGAGCATGTTCCTTTCAGCTGACTGTGACTTACCCACTGTTTGTGAAGAGCCCATCCAGTGTTTGCTCTGCTGGAACAGCATTGACTTCTACAAGGAAATTCCAAGGATCAAGGTATCTTTAAAGTACACACTGGATTGTAAGAGAACTAGAGGGCACCCAAGCGTAATACAACATTTTTTAGTTTACCCCCTACTCAAGTTTTGGTGCAATTTTACCTTCCTGAAATAACTGTAACGTCAGCACTGTCTCCAGCACATTCAGCCAGGTTGCCTGAATTACTTGAAGAGCCCAGGACAAGGCAAATACACATTTTCATTCTCTGTTTGCATCTAACAAATAACAGATGTTGCAATATTGAAGAAGCACACCTGATGTGACTAACAAGGGATTTCTAAAATATTTGCCCTAAGATGACAGCCACCCTGCTATTAAGCATTTACTTAACGAAATGTGTACAAAGGGAAATACTGTAGCAATTCTCCTTAAGACTGAGCAAGCTGCTTGAAATAAAGGTTTCTCGCGTGACCTTGGGCTAAATCCGCATTACCAGAAGAATGTAGACCCAAGCTTGAGAATACTTGTTTCCTACCAGCCTTCAATGCCTACTAAAGAATCTCTGGAGGAGGCTGTGGTGCTGCTGCTGTCACAGTCACTGCCCCGCGTTGCCCCAGGCGGCAGCCCCTGCCATGTGCCTGTCCCTTGGTCCCTGGGATGTGGCAGCTGAACCCTCCTGCATCCACTGGAGGGAATCTGGCACGCCACCTCCGGGCGAACCTGCCAGGAAGCAGGGTCAGCCCTTTGCAAATAAACCCTGCCTGATCTGAGTAACACAAATGGACGCCTGGAAGATTAATTCATCCCCTGTAATTATACAACTACTGTTTGCACAAACCGGTGGCATGCAATAGTTTCTTATTAAAATGCTCAGGATACGCATTAAGGTATCTCTAAACAAAGTACGGCTCTCCTAAGGAGAGGAGAGAATGAAAAATTTCCTCGCTTGAAATTTGTCACTCTTTCATCAGATTTGATATAAAGCTACGAGCAGCACTGTAAATGGACCAACGAGTTGTCTAATTGTCTAGAACAACCTCACGTAATTTATATTGTCTCTTAATTTCTGTTTTGTAACCTCCATGGCTGTCTTCAGTGAATCACAGCATACAGCTCTACTTGGAGAGCACATCAGGGTATGATTTTTCCCTTTGTTTCCCACTTTCCCACAATGGAAGCATGCAAATTTCAGCAAGGTATGCACCTACCGCATTAATCCTTTCTAATGTGATTCCAGTTGCCTCCTTAAAAGCAGAATCTAAAAGATTATTTTTCCTGTTTCCATTCTCTATTGTGGCACACAGTTTTCTTGCTGAAAGGATATTCATCTAACTCTATATACACAGAGATGAATATACATTCGAATCACAGATACATATCAATTTAACACACATCACAGACTGGAAATACATTATTAAAATTAACTGCATTACAGAGAATAGATGTATAGACAAAACTGCTGAGGTACTCGACTCTCACAATTCCATGGTGCCTTAACACTTGCCGCAAACCTGCCATCCTTTTGTAATGCAGTCCTGAGATGCTTAATCTGCTTTCTCTCTTCCAAGACATAAATCAGCAGCAAAGTTGCCTGTGGAGGAGTGGAATCTGGGGGATAATTGTGGCCTCGTGGGTTATCTATCTGTAGCTGCGTGCACGGTGGGTCTGCTCACCAAATTTTTAGCGCGCGTTTATATTTTCGGGCTCTTTTCCAGCAGGGAGTTAGGAAGTGAGAAACAACAAAACTAGTTTAATGCACTGGGTAAATCAGACCAGCTTATTGTGAAACCCATCGCCACACATGATTGTTATGATAATACACGCGGATGAGCTCTGGTTATTACATGCACAGCCCTGTAAGAACTGCTCCCTACAGCTCGCCCGTTCTCTCACTTTAGCAACACCCCACACACCTGTTCAAATAATATTACTATTACCTTGTGTTGACACCACATCCACCCTTTCCTTTCATATAATAAGAGCTCCTGGTGAACTGTAAATGGAAAGCTTGCGGTAGCAGAAGCTGATTGTTTACCTGTCTCCAGTTTGTTGCCACAGATACTTGGTTGGGAGAAGGGAACAAAGATCAGTTTGACATCCTTGTTAAGCAGGATTTGCCCCCCACCTTACCCACAAAGGTTACGAGTTGCTATTCAAACCTGAGCTCCGCAGGTGTGCCATCACACCTGTCTGAAAGAAAACAAAATACAGTTTGTTTCAGTATGGCTATTGCCCCAGCAAAATAAAGACCTTGCCCTGCAACACAGACACAAGCATTTGTTTTAATATTTCAATGAATCCAAGCAAATACTGACAGTAGCTCTGTTTATATTCAGCATACAAGCCAAATACGATGCAAGCTTCCCCAGCAACTGATGGCAGTGAGCATCTGACCCTGCCCGCTAAACTAACTCATGGGCAAACTCATGGCAAAACTTAACTCAAAACCCATCAGGCAATGGAAATGAGAATTTTGTAACTCTCAAGGTATTTCAGTGCCAGGTCAGATGGGGCTTTGAGCAACCTGGTCTAGCGTCACTGCCTGTGGCAGAGGGGCTGGGGCTAGATGATCTTTAAGGTCCCTTCCACCTCAAACCCTTGTATAATTCTGTGATTAACAAGGCCAAGCCAGGGACAGGCTGGGCCTCGCAATTAATTTCCTTCACCGTTGTGTCCTGATGGAGCTGCTGCTGCTATTGAGTCACATGTAAGTCTTTGCCTAAAGAGCTGTCATGGTTTTAGAATAGGGGAAAGTTAAGAGCTGTGGGTCCTGGTCCTATTCTGCTTGGTTGAAGTCTATGCCTAACTTCTTATACTAGCGACAACAATGTAGGTCTAGGGTAAAATGGCAAAAAATGGCAAAATTTACCTCCTAATTGAGGCCTGGAGGAAGCATAATGGGATTTTGCCCATGCAAAGCAGTGCATTACAGGGACCTAAATGTACCCATTCATTCATGTGAATTTGCCATTTGACATCTGCTGAAGGTGATGGAAAGACTTTGGTGGGCATTTGATCCAAGAGCTGAGTCACTGGAGTTTCCAATGCTTTAGGTAAAAACATTTTTCACCAAAAAGGGATAATGAAAATTATTTTCCCATTTTCCAGCTAAAGCAGTGCTCTCCTTTTACTGCTTTATATTCTTATTAGAATCCTTATCCACATCTGCTTCCACCATGCTTTAAAGAGCGTTGTTCATAGTCACCTTCTTATGAAGGTGTCCCTGAATTAGAATAAGGAAGTGTGGTAGATGTGTGGCTCCGGCTGGTTTGGATCCTTCCAAACCTTCCTTTGTATACTGGGCTGCAGCTTACACAGAGAAATGTCCTTGAGGCAGGAAGCATATTTTATTTATTGCTTTATTTATTGCATATGTCAAGTAAATGGAATCCCAAATTATGAAGATGCAAAACACAGTGTGAGTATTTATCAGCACTGAATGTTTTTATGTGCTCCAAAATAATTTGGGGTTTCCCAGCTGACTGCGAGCAGCTTGCTGGTTTTGAAGATCTAGCACCTTTGGAACTGAAGGGACATGCTGAATTTTAAGCACTTGGAAAGAGAATTAATTGCTTGGACAGCACCACCTTTTTTTTTTTTTTTTTTTTTTTTTTTTTTTTTTGTGTATGCTCATCAATAGCAGATGATGAAGCCTCTGGGGGATATTAGCACAAGTAAACTAAACACAGGACAGGGGCTGTTTAAACAAGGTGAGACAAAAGCCTTCATACTACAAGCAAACAAATTTGATAGCAATTTCCTATGTTTCCACCTCTGTTGTTGCTCATGTCTGCATTTAAATATGAACTTTATCTTTCTTGGCCCTGGTTTTCCTCCTTCATTAGCCTGCATGGAGGTCAGAGACCCTCTTATCTCATGGGCTACTCCTGCAAGGACCCGGGAGCTCGCTGGGTTCCCTTTGCAGCTTTCTATGAAGGTTGAGACAGAACTTCTGCTTGATCCCTCACCCTCTGAGAACAGGAAAGGATTTATTCTGGCTAATAGCTAAATAGCAAAGGTAGGAAGTCATCTTGTGTCTGTGCTTTTGCTTCCATGTGCACTGCACCTTCACACCAGCCCCTGGCTTTGGCAGCTACCTGGCATGGAGCCCCTGTCCACCTCAAAAACACCACAGCCCCCCAAAAAAACCCTGGTGGCACTTGAAGCCATGGGGCAGCTCACAAGGCAGTGCTGGTAATATTGGCTCCTACTTACCTGGTGAGCCTGTCCTGCACATGAACCAAGCAACTGCTTCTTCATTAAAGCTGGAGAAGGCAATGTCCTTTTGCATGATTGCTGCCCCAGTGCTGTGATACTCCTGCCAGGATGGACCCCTCCAGTCTCTGAACAGACACATCAAAAGTCAAGGGGAAATGTTGGCTTGTAGCACTGTGTCCATCTGTCCCTCTGAGTCCAGGCACTGCCACCTCCCAAACTCTCCCAGGGATTCAATACCTGCACTGCAGCCCACACATCACCTGTTTCTGGCTCTGGATGTCTCCAGGGCTTCTGGAGAATGTAAAAGGGAACAGAAGAAAAAGTCTTTATAAAATGATCCTAAATGGATGCATGTTTCAGTCTTATTAATTTGAAGTATTCTTTCCAGTTACAGCATTTTATGGGAATATTTTCAATCTTGTAAAATTTCAATCTGCCGAAAAAATTAAGAAATGCTGATTTTTAAATATTCTAAACAAGATATAGATGTTAGACTGCTACAGACATAGACACCAGCATCTCTGAATAAAAAGATAGCCTGTTGAATAAATAACGGATATTTAAAAATATCTGAATAGGAACTTACAGGATAAATGGTAAGAGCTTCAAAGGAGCCATTGATCTATGGAGTACATAATATGCATGTTAAAAATTATTGGAATATTTATTTACATGACACATGGCTCAGAAGAAGCCATTATGGTCCTTAAGCAAATTAAACATGTTGTGAAAATTGTCAAAGTGCTTCTTTTACCAGAAAGCAAGTGCATCCTATCAGTTGACAAACACATCATCTTTAGGGAAAAATCTCTAAAAGGAAGTAAACCTGAGGCTAAAAGAAGCTTAAAAGAGAAAAGGAGATTTAAAAAAAAAAAACATTATAAAAAAAAATAAAAAAGGAGAAGCAAATAACCACTCTTGCCTCATGTCAAAGAGTGTTTCATGCCCATCAAAGGAAGAAAAACCCGCATGCCCTGTCCCGCATCCCGTGCAGTGCTGCTGTCGCACATCATGTGGGGACGGAATGCTCCTGTCTCTATGTGCCAAAGCCCAGAGTGCCAGCTCTTCTCCCTACAGGCTGAGAAATTACAAATGGGGACTAATTCATTCCAGCCACTGTCATGTCCTCTATTCTGAATTAAGCTGCCAGAAGAGTGCTCTGCTTTCCCCGCCTGTGCTCCTCTGAGTGACGTGGGGGACAGGCAGGGAACCACAACCCACTGGCATGGTTTGCACCTTTGTGTGTGGAGATGTGCTTTTTAGGGTATGAGGACCTACAGGTCCTCAACTGTCTCAGCACCACCAAGCCCTGACTGCAA